TTCGCGTCGTCCGCGTGCTTCTTCTCGGCGCGCTTCGACGCCTTTTTCGCCTTGCGCGCGCGCGCCTGCTCGTCCTGCGCGCGCAGGTAGTCGACCAGATGTGTGCTCTGCGGTTCGGGCTCGGCAGCCGGCGTGCTCTGCGCGGGAGGCGCCTCGAGCGACGCGACAAAGGCCTGGAACTCGGGCGCTGCGTAAGTAGGCGGCACGTACTCTGCTCGATGGTGCCGGCGAGCGGGTCGGCGCGGGGGGGCCGTGCGGTCGGCACCTGCTGCACGAGCGCATAGTCGACGAGGGCGACATACTCGTGGCCCTGCGCATCCTGGAACCGGTGCCCCTGGAACGCCTTGGCAAACGCGAGCATCTGGTCGGTCTGGCGGAACTGGAGGAAGGCGGTCGAGGGCGTATCGTGCTCGGTGGGTCTGGGTCAGTCGCGCAACGTACCGCTCGCTGCGCTTCCCGGGGAGAAACTCCGCATACGCCACGGTCGCTGGCTGGTCCGCGGCGGCGCGCACGGGCTGTGCGCCGTCGGCGCTGGGGGTGCCTGCCGCGATGCGCACCCACGGACTCACGGTCGACCAAAAGACGCCTGCAGGGAGGTGCGGCGGCAAATCACGCACGACAATCTTGCGCCGTGGCTTGCGTGCCTTGCGGCGCGACGGCGGCGGGCCGCCGCCTCGAGGCCTCGCACCCATGGTGTCAGCGGCGCGGCGCTCGTCGCGCGCTGAGCCACTCCCACGTGCGTTCCTCCACCCGACCGTCCGCCATGCCCAACGCCGCGAGCCACGCGGCGCGGCGTGCTCGATGGCAGGCGCTGCAGGCGCAGCTGCGCGACTCGAGCCGTGCGAACCGCAGCGACGTAGTGGATGAGCAGGCGCGGCAGCGCGAGGCCGCGCAGAAGCGGTCCCCGGCGCACGCGCACAAGTTGGCCAAGGCGGAGCGCCTGCTCGACGAGCGCGACATGCGCGAGCGGGGCGAGGATGTCGAGCGCCACCGCGCGATGCACTATACGATTGAGGAGAACGAGGCATGGGAAAAGAAGCTCGAGGAGAAGGAGCGTAGTCGCGATAAGGGCATGATCGGTACGTGCGCGCGGCTCACCCAGACTTTCAGGATCTGGCCGAGCGCTCGTACCAGCGGCAGATCCGGCAGCTCAAGCCGGACCGCGCGGCGTACGCCGAGCAGAAGCAGGCCGAGGCTAACACAGAGGCGGCGCGGCCCAGCCGCGAGCCCCCGCGCGACCGCCAGCTCGTGCGCGCGAGCGAGGCGGCGGTGGCGCCGGCCGTCGCGTCGTACGGGACCCATGCGCCAGACGAGGACGCGGTGGACCGCCTCGTGACGCACCTCAACTACGAGTACGCCTCCGACGCTCACACAGACACGACCAGATCCATCGCCGCAGCCGGCGCCGCGAGGACGACTTGGATGTCGAGGGCACCTATATCAACCAGCGCAACAAGCGCTTCAACCGCAAGATCCAACGCGTATGTCCTGCCTACTGACACAGTACTTCGGCGAGCATACCAAGGAGCTCCGCGAGAACCGTACGTACCCGTCACTCACCCCCAGTGGAGCGTGGCACCGCGTACGTGGCCGTCCGCTGACGCAGTTTGTAATCGACATAGACCGACGCTGTGGAGGACTCGTCCGGCCATGATGCGACCCCGGCCGGCTGCGCGCGCGCTGCGCGCGCCGCTGCTGCGCGCGGACGAGTGGGTCGTGATCGACTTGGGCAGCCGCGTGTGCCGCGCGGGCTTGGGTGGCGAGGCTGCGCCGCAGGCCCTCTTTGACGCGTGCGCGCTCGTGCAGCGCCCGGCCGCGGCGGACGCGCTGTGGGACCTCGACTGGCAGCGCGCCGACGCGCGCCCCGCGCGCGAGCGGCACGCGATCCTCGTGCGCCACCTCGCGCGCATCGTGCGGACCGTGTACCAGGAGCACCTGCTGTGCGAGGGCCAGGCCCACCCCGTGCTCGTGGCGCACAGCCCCCTCGGCCTCGAGGCGCTGCGGCACGCGTGGTGCGAGGTGCTCCTGCGCACGATGCACGCGCCGAGCGTGTCGTTTGTCGATACCCATGTGCTCTGCACGCTAGCGGCTGGGCGCACGAGTGCGCTCGTCGTGGACATCGGGCACCTCGAGGCGTGTGCGATGCCCGTCTACGACGGGCGGCCGATGACCTCGCTCGTGGCCACGACGCCGCGCGCCGGCCGCCGGCTGGCGCAGGGCCTCGAGGTGCTCCTGCGCGCGCATGCGCCGCGCCGCGATGGGGCGGCCGAGTACAGCGACGCCGTCGTGGCTATCCAGACGCAGCTCCTCCTCGTCGGTGCGCCGTGTGCGGCCCCCGGCGCCGGCGCTGCGTGGCCCGTGGACCCTGACGCATTTGCGCGGGCCTATGCGGCACTACCTACGAGCACAGGCGATGCACACTACCGAGGGATCCAGGTGCCTGGCTGGCTGCGCGAGCGCGCCGCGGAGCTCCTCCTTGAGCCGGGCGATGAGGACGAGCAGAGCGTCAGCGAGTGTATCGCGCAGTGTGTGCGGTCGCTTCCGCGCGATCTGCGGCGCGAGATGCAAGCGTCCGTGCTGCTCGCGGGCGGCACAGCCATGCTCCCAGGCCTTGCCGCGCGTCTCGAGGCGGATGTGGCGCAGGCGCTCGGCGTGGCCCCCGACGCCGTGCGCGTGCTTGGCGGGCGCACGTCGTTCGTGCCGAGCCAGGTGCTCGCATGGACGGGCGCCAGTCTGGCCGCGCACTTCGAGGCCGGCAGCGTCGCGCCTGTGACACGCGAGGCCTGGTGCGGCCAAGTGTCTACCGCCGCTCGCGCCCCACCACCGTCACATGCGGGTGGGTAGCGCTCACGCCCCGCACGACGTTGGGGCACCCGAACAGGTACACGCGACGGAGCGTCGGCATCGCCTCGACGAGGCGTAGGAGCAGAGCATCGTCAATGCAGCGCACAAAGCCGATATCCAGCTCCTCGAGGGGGGGCGCCGCGTCCGCCAGCGTCTCGAAGGCGGCCGGTGTGAGCGCGTCGTTGCTGTTGACGCGCAGGAGGCGAAGGCGCGGCGCATGTGCCGCGAGCGCACACACGACGGCGTCGCCCACGCCACAGCGCACCAGCGACACATGCTCGAGGGCATGCAGCGTGCGTGCGGCGCGCACCCACGCGTCGTCGGAGACCTGCGTGAGGCCGTCGGCCACGAGGTGTGTTGTGCACGGCGCGAGGCACCTGACCGTGGCATCGGTTAGCGCGTCGTTCAGCGAGAGGTTCAAGACACGCAGCTGTGCGCCCAGCGCCTCGAGGAGCGGCACGAGCCCCGCATCCGTGAGCGAGGCGGGCGGCACGCCCGGCTGCGAGACGCCCGGCTGCGAGACGTCGAGCGTGTGCAGCGCCGAGAGGCCCGCCAGCGCACGGACGCCGCGGTCGTCGAGGGCGCCCATCTGTGCGAGGCCGAGCTCGCGCAGCAGCGGCGCATGCGCCACGAGCGCCTCGATGCAGTCGAAGTCAAAGCGCGGCGTCTCGCGCACGCGCAGCACGGTGAGGGAGGCGCCGCGCGCGCGGAGGAACGCGAGCCATGCCTCTTTGCGCACGAGAAACGGCCCGTACAGATCGAGCTCGGTGAGCGCGTGCCAGTGCTCGAATGTGCGGAAGGCGGTATCGTCGAGCTGGCCGCAGTACTGCAGCTGCACGCACGTGGCGTTCGGCGTGAGGCGCACGAGGGTTTCGTAGGACGAGCGGGGCAGTGCTGTGTGAGCACAGACACGTACCACTACAGTCGTACAGCCGCAGCTGCGTGACGTGTGCACCAACAAACAGCGGCAGCGTCTGTGGCGTGAGCTGCCGGTTCTTGCAGATGACCTGCGGTAAGCGCACGCAACGTACGCGGCTGAGGCCCCGCCGACTTCGCTCGCTGAGGGGGCGGAGCGCCTGGGCCCGCTCAATGTGCGACGCAGCGACCTGGGTCAGTGGGCGGCACGCACATGAATGCAGATCGCTTGCAGGCTCGGCAGCTCGGCCGCAGCGTCGATGACCGCCCCGACCGAGGGGCCTGAGCGCGTGGGCGCCGCGCGCGCGCGGCGCGGCGCCTGCACCTGCGTGCGCGGCACGTGCCGGTTGCACTGCGAGCACAGGGGCCCCACGCCCGGCTCGATGCGTCTGTGTGAGTAGGCAGCACGTACGTGTAGCGGGTCATGGAAAAGGGCTTTTCACATCGCGCACACTCGACGGGCTGCCCGGGACGCACGACCAGCGTGCGCACCGAGTCTCCGCCAGGGGGCGTCTGTGCGCGTGCGCGCTTTGGCAGGGGCGGTACAGGCGCGTCCTCGTCCTCGTCAAACTCGAGTGACGCGCCTGGCGCAATGCGCGGGCGTGCGCGGGTCGCGGCCGCCTCTCGCGGGTGGTCGTGCGCCATGGACGCGCGCAACTGCCGGCCTTGGGCATTAATCTCGCTCGCACGGATCCCTTGCGACTATGATTAGCACTGCGAACCTACCGCCAGAAACTCGGTCAGCGCGGACGTCGGACCACGCAGGTTCGTGCGGCGCGACATGCCGTCAAGGCTATCGAAGCTGTGGAGGCCGCGGCGGCGGCGGCCCCGGCGGTGCGCCACGTGATGGCTCAGCAGCCGTCCACCGCGACGTGAGTGGGCGCGAGGGCATAATGCGCACTGGACTAGGCGACCGTGAGTGCGAGCGGCCCCGAGGACTCTGCGAATTCGAGCGAGAATAGGAGCGACCACGAGGGCTCCGAGAGTATGATCGCGAGTACGACCTGCCTCGAGGGCTCCGAGAGTATGATCGCGAGTACGACCTGCCTCGAGGGCTCCGAGAGTACGACCGAGAATACGACCTGCCTCGAGGGCTCCGCGAATACGACCTCGAGTACGAGCGGCCTCGAGGGCTCCGAGAGTATGATCGCGAGTACGACCTGCCTCGAGGGCTCCGAGAGTACGACCTCGAGTACGAGCGGCCTCGAGGGCTCCGCGAATACGAGCGAGAATAGGAGCGACCACGAGGGCTCCTAGAGTATGACCGCGAGTACGACCTGCCTCGAGGGCTCCGAGAGTACGATCTCGAGTACGACCTGCCTCGAGGACTTCGGGAATAGGACCTCGAGTACGACCTGCCCCGAGGGCTCCGAGAGTACGATCGCGAATACGAGCGACCCCGAGGACTCCGCGAATCGTCTGAATCAGACATGGACGAGACAGACCGGCGCTCCTCAGCCTCACGGCGCTCGCGCATGACCTGCGTCGCATGCTGCAAGTACTCACGCATCGGCTCGGTGACGAGACCCAAGCCAATACTCGTGAAAAAGTTGATGGAGAACCGCGTGTTGCGCGGGTGGTCCAGGGGGAACATGTGCTCAAAGTACCCCTGCATCGACGGCTCGCGGAAACGCGCAGCCAGTGCAGGAAGGCCCAGTAGCGACTGCATTTCATTCATGAGGATCTTGATAAAAATACGCGAGGAAGACGTCGTGTCGTCTTCGTTCATGTACACAACATCAAAACTCGCCCAGCTAATGCTGTCGGTCGCAAGCAGCGCACCAAAGAAGCGCGCAATGTTGCGCAGCCTGTTTGTCTCGTATCGGTGGATCGTGTCGTAGTACCTGCGGAAGCTCTGCTCATAGAGCGCACTCCACCGCCGATGCAGCTTGCACAGTCGCTCGCCAATGTGTCCATAGAACTTGGAGTACGTGCGCTCCTGCGAGCAGCACTCGACCACCATGTTGCAGAGCTCCATCTCCTGATCTTCCGGCACCTTGAGCTTGAGCAGCTTGTGCACACACTCCTCAAAGTCCAGCGACGACATAATGACCAGGTAGATCGTCCGACGCAAATTCACCAAATTCGTCTCGGTGCGGTCCTGGATCTCGAGCGCCGTCGGCGCATCGTCCGCTTCGCTGCCCGCCTCTTCCTCCTCTTCGTCCTCCTCCTCTTCGTCGCTGCCCTCGCCCAGGATCTCCGCCTGGATCTGCCGGTACTTTTCTTCGTTCTCCTCAAAGTCAGGGTCAGGCTTAAACACATTCAGGCCCTCCTCCAGCGGCAGATGGTCGTCCAAGCTCACCTGGTGCGTGATCTGGTCCTCCTCTTCCACGAGGTCCAGCGCCTCGGGGATCGGCGGGTGGTCCTGGAACTTGTCCTTGCGCGTCTGTGCGAGCACCTCGACCATGTACTGCACGCGCACGCTAATTTGGCCCTCGTACAGCACGGAGCGGAACCGGTCAAATACGCTGTGGCACGCCTTCGGTGCCTCGTCCGTGAGGAACGCACCGACCTCGCGCATAAACGCCACGGCGAGCTCGACACTGTCGTCCGTCGGATTCTCCAGGAGCAGGACGAGGATCTCAAGCGCAAGAAGCTCATGCGCCACACGCTGGTTCACGAGGTGCGCGAGGAAGAGCAGCGTGGCATGGCACTTGGTCTTGTCGTTGCGCCGGAACGCACGCCGGAATTGCGACACGAGACGAATGACCAGCAGTTCGCCCACGAATGGCAGCTTGGTGTTGACGATCGCCGCGAGTGCAGCAAATACAGGCGTGAACGGCAGCGACAGCTCCTGCGCATGCATGATCGAGCGGCAGAACAGGCCGCGCCCGCGGATCAAATTCGCGCCTGCAAAGAGCTCCGGCACAATGTGTTTGATATTGTCGGCGGCCACCTTGTTCACGAGACCCGTGATGCTCTTTCGCAGTGCCTCCCAGCTCATGCGCTGGTATTCGACGCTGCCTGCGTCGGCGCGGGCCACCTCGGCCATGAGCGCCTTGAGACGCGCGGGCGGCACGTATGCGCCACCCGCCCGCGTCTCCGACAGTTTGGCCAGCGCCGCCCGCAGCGCCTCGCCTTTCTCGGCTGCCGTGCGGGACGCATCCTCTGGCGAGTCGGAGCGCTTCCGCTTCGACACGCGCTCCTCGTCCGCCATGCTCGCACGAGAAAAACGGCGTCGTCGTCGGCGCCGCGCCCGCCACGTGCTGACATAATCGTGAAGAGCCTCCACCGGCGCCACCGCGGCTCTTGTCACCATGGCCCTGGCGGAGACACCTTTCCGCCTCGTGCGTGCGCAGAGGGGCGGCGCCGTGTCGGCCTATACGCATGCGTCGGGGTCTGAGACACGCAACTTTGATATAATGGGCGTCGCGGACGACGCCATGGACGAAGAGGGCGAGCAGGACACGGGGCTGCTGGCCATGCCCGGCCAGGGCGTGGCAACGAGCCTCAAGTACATGCGGGGCCACGGCTGCTACCTGGATGCGTCGCAGGCCGAGATTGTCTCGTCGCTCAGCGGCACGATCGAAAAAGTCAACAAGCTTGTGTCGGTGCGCCCTGTCCGCACGCGCTACCGCCCCGAGGTAGGTGACCTGGTGATTGGGCGCATCACGGACGTGCAGTCGCGCCGCTGGAAAGTCGACATTGGTGCGAAGACGGATGCGTCACTGCAGCTCTCGTCGATCAACCTGCCAGGTGGTGTGCAGCGCAAGAAGCTCGAGTCGGACGAGCTGCAGATGCGCCACTTTTTCCAGGAGGGCGACCTGGTGGTGGCCGAGGTCCAGTCGCTCTTCCAGGACGGGAGCGTCGGCCTGCACACGCGCTCGCTGCGGTACGGAAAGCTGCGCAATGGCGCACTGGCGGTCGTCCCGCCCGTCCTCGTGCGGCGCCACAAGAGCCACTTTCTCTCGCTCATGCAGCTGCCCGAGCGCGGCGTCGACTTGGTGCTCGGCCTCAACGGCTGGATCTGGGTGTCGAAGCATGTGCCCTTTGACATGGCGAAGGCCGAGGGCGAGGGCGCCGACAGGGACGAGGCGATGGAGACAGATGGCGTGTACAGCGACGTGAACGAGGTACGTATCTGGTGCTGACATAGGCCATTCCTGCGGCTACGCGCCAGTCTATCTCGTTGGTATGCCAGGTGCTCGCGGTTTTCGCGCACCAGGGATGGCCCGTCACTGACGCCGCGCTGGAGCAGGCGTGCGCGCTGTGCGCGAGCAGGGACGAGCCGCTCCACGCCCAGGCCCTGGTGCAGTATCTCACACGGGCGCGGCAGAGCCGTACATAGGGTTATAGGACACTCAGGCGTACATGGCACCCTCGTCCGGCTGCGGCAGCTTGCGATTTGCCGGCGCCGCCATCATCCGGCGCAGCTCGACCAGGAGGCTCTCCATCGTATAGTCGCTGCGCCACGACGCGAGCGGCGGAAACGCCTGCGGCGTCACCTGCCCCGTCTGGGCATTCACGCACGGCAAATGGATCTGCGTGAGAAAGTGGATCTGCGGCGGGCTCTGGGGGTACTTGTCGCCACAAACAATCTTGAGCGAGTAGATACGGTTCTCGTACGTCGAGTTCGCCGGGCCTAGGATGGTCGCATTCCAGGTCGACATGGCTGCCGTGAGCGAAAAGCACCTACTAATGTCCTCCGCATCGGCGAGGCCGTACGAGCAGGTTCCATTGCCAAAGCCCTTCTCGCCTTTTTCAAGCTCCTCCAGAAGCCGAAAGTTCCGCGGTACTGGGTCAGCACAGCCTACGCACCCACAGCCATCGCAGTCCTGGAGTGAGGCCCCAGCGCAGCGATCGGGCGGCGAAAGTGCCCCGCACGTGATGGCCTTGACCGTGCGCGCGCGGCACGAGAATCGTACCACTCTGACCAACGATGACAGCGGAGGAGGTCTACATTGTATCGGCAGTGCGCACGCCGGTCGGTGCATTCCAGGGCGCGCTCAAGACGCAGACGGCCGTCGACCTAGGCACGGTAGCTGCACAGGCGGCGATCGACCGCGCGCAGGTGGCCCCGGAGGACATTGACGAGGCGTATCTGGGCTGTGTGCTGCAGGCGGGCCTGGGACAGGCGCCCGCGCGCCAGGTCGTGCTGCGCGCGGGGTGCCCTGCATCGACGGAGGCCACGACCGTGAACAAAGTATGTGCGTCGGGCGCCAAGGCGCTCGCTCTGGGTGCGCAGAGCATCCGCCTGGGCGAGAGCCGCGTCGTGCTGGTCGGCGGCATGGAAAGCATGAGCCAGGCCCCGTATTACATGCGGCGCGGCAGCCTCGTATATGGCGACGTTTCGGCCCAGGACGGCGTGCTGCGCGACGGCCTCTCGGACGGACTGAGCGGCCGGCACATGGGCGAGTGTGCGGACGAGACGGCGCAGAAGCACGGCTTCTCGCGCACGGACCAGGACGACTTCGCGGTTACCTCGTACGAGCGCGCTATCGCCGCCTGGGAGGCACACGCGTTTGACCAGGAGGTGGTGCCAGTCACCATCCATGGCAAGAAGGGGGACACGGTCGTCCGCGAGGACGAGGAACACCACCGCTTCCAGCCTGAAAAAATGCGGTCGCTGCGCCCGGCCTTTGGCAAGGAGGGCACGGTGACAGCGGCCAATGCAAGCTCGCTGAATGATGGCGCCAGCGCGCTCGTCCTCGCGAGCGGCGCCGAGGTGCAGAAGCGCGGCTGGAAGCCGCTCGCGCGCGTGCTGGGCACGGCCGACGCTGCAGCGGCGCCGGAGGACTTTCCGACGGCGCCCGCGCTCGCCATCCCCAAGGCGCTGGCGCGCGCGAACGTCGCGCTGGACGATGTGGCGCTCTTTGAAATCAACGAGGCATTTGCCGTCGTGCCCCTCGCGAACGCGCGGATCCTCGGCATTGACCTCGCCAAGGTGAACACGCTGGGCGGCGGTGTCTCGCTCGGCCACCCGATCGGCAGCTCTGGCGCGCGCATCGTCGTGACCCTTGTGCACGCGCTCCGCGCTGGGCAAATCGGCGTCGCGGGCATTTGCAACGTACGTATCATCGACTGACCTCAGGGCGGCGGCGGCGCATCGGCCGTGGTAGTGCAGCGTATGTAGAAGGTCCACTCCACACGATGAAGAAGCGATCGCTCGCGGAGGCGTTCCAGGCGAGCCTGGCCGACGAGGCGAGTGGCGCTGCCGCGGCGCAGCACGAGTCGGACGAGGAGGACTACATGTCGGACGCCATGCTTGCGATGCTTGAGCGCCGCGATGCGCCGCGCCTGCAGACGTACTCGGAGCGGCGCGCGCAGCAGCAGCGCGAGGAGGCCGAGCGGCAGCGCGCCGAGATGCAGGACGCCGAGCTGCGGCGCAGCGCCAAGGCGGGGCGCCCACTCGCAGGCGAGTGGGCCGCGCGGAGCGAGGGCCTAGCGACGGATCGGCTCGCCGAGGCGGCCGATCGCGCGGACCGTGCGCAGCCGCTGGGGGCCGGCACGGAGGCGGCGCTGCGCATGATGAAGGCGATGGGGTACGTGCCTGGGCAGGCTCTAGGCGCGCCGGAAGCGCTGGACGCGCCGCTCGCGCCCGACCAGCGGTGGCTCAGTGCGGACGGGCGCCGCAAGAAGCTCGGGATTGGGCACGCCGATCTCTCGCGGCGCATTGCGCGGGCGGCCGAGGCGCCGCGGAGCGCGAGCCCCGCGTCGGACGTCGCAGCGTTCCGCCAGCGGCAGGCCGAGGCGGCGCAGCGGCGGCACAACGAAGGACTGCTGCGGGCAGCACGCAAGGCGTGCCGGGAATGCGACGAGGCGCATGGCTGGGAGGTGCGTACCGACGACTTACGGGCAGTACAGTCCCCTGTGGCTGGACCCGACGAGCTTGCCGGCGGCGCACCCACTGCACGACGAGAGTGTGCTGGCCGGCGAGAACGAGCGCGGCCACGACGATGCCGAGGCGCTATGGCTGTACGCGCTCCGGGACGAGGGACCGCCGCGCGCGGCGCCGGCGCCCCGCGAGCGTCGCGTGGATGCGGAGCGGTTCGGGGCGCTCCCTCTCGCGGCGCGCCTGGCGCTCACCGTGGCGTATCTGCGCGAGGCCTACTACTATTGCGTATACTGCGGACACCAATACGCCTCGGAGTCCGAGCTGCAGCGCTCGTGTCCTGGGCCGAGCGAGGACGAGCACGGGTAGGAGCGGTAGGGAAGGGTATGGCCTACCTAGTTGTACTGTGCATAGAGCGACGTGCTCGAGAACTTGCTGCCTTGGCGCACGACCTTCTCGACGGCCTGCAGAAAGTCTTTCTCGGTCGCGACCTTGCGGTGCGCGCGGATCGCAAACATGCCCGCCTCCGTCGCGACGCTGCGCAGCTCGGCACCGGTCGTGTTGGGGCACAGGCGCGCAATGAGATCAAAGCGGATATTGCGCTCGACAGACATGGAGCGCGCGTGGATGCGCAGGATGTGGGCGCGGCCCTCCTGGTCCGGCAGGCCAAACTCGACGCGGCGGTCGAGACGCCCGGGACGCAGCAGCGCCGGGTCGAGCGTGTCGGGCCGGTTCGTAGCCATGAGCACCTTGATGTTGCCGCGCGCATCGAAGCCGTCCAGCTGGTTGATGAGCTCCAGCATCGTACGCTGCACCTCGTTGTCGCCGCCGGCGCCGTCGTCAAAGCGCATTCCACCGATCGCGTCGACTTCGTCGAAGAAGATGATGCACGCCTTCTTGGTGCGCGCGAGCTCGAACAGCTCGCGCACCATACGCGCGCCCTCGCCGACGTACTTCTGCACGAGCTCCGAGCCGATAACACGAATGAACGTCGCGTCAGTGCGGTTGGCGACCGCCCGCGCACACAGCGTCTTGCCCGTGCCGGGTGGCCCAAACAGCAGCACGCCCTTGGGCGGGTCGATGCCCAGCTTCACGAAGCGCTCCGGCTCGAGCAGTGGCGTCTCGACGACCTCGCGCAGCTTTTCAATCTGGTCCTTCACACCGCCGATGTCGCCGTACGTGACGTCAGGCTTCTCCTCGACCTGCATCATCGTCACAGTCGGGTCGATCTTGGGCGGCAGCGGGATCTGGATCTGGTATTTGTTGCGGTCGACGCCGACGCGCATGCCCTCCTCGACGTCGGTCGGCGCAATGCGCTCGCCGAGGCCCACGACAAACTTGGCGATCTGCTTGATGTTGATCACGTACTTGTCCTTGGTGTCCGCCGAGCGATTGCCCATGCCGCCGAGCGCCCCAAGCACATTGTCCAGCGCCTGGACGCCGGTGCTGGATCCGCCCGCCTCGCCCTCCGACGCCCCGTCGCCACTGGTGGCTGCGGGAATGATCTTGGTGCAGCGGGCGACCTGGAGCGGCTGCTCCTCGCTCATGCGCTGCTTGTCCGCGGCAATATCCCAGAGGTCCGGCGGCGCAAGACCCGTGTCGCTCTCCTTGACGCCCATCTTTTCGCTCACGCGCTTTTCGACGTCCTTGATTTCCGCATCGATGCGCTTCAGCGCAGTGGCGTACGGGCCCTGCCCGTACGTGCGCAGCAGCTGGATATCGCCCTCGTCGAGCGGGACGATCTCATCCTGCTTCTTGTCCGGATCGGTGTCCGGCTTGGAGTATTTCTCCCAGTCCCTCTTCGGCGGCATCGCTACGACGGCCGTGGCGACGCGAGACAGCGGCGGGGGCCGCGCGTTGCCGGCGTGGCGGGGGGCACATGTGCAAATAGAGAGGGCGCTGAGTCAGCGTCTCGCGAGGCGGGTCCCGGCCAGGACGCCCCGTGCGATTCGGCTGCGACCGTTCACCGGGCAAGATGGCAGGCGCGATGAGCAATGCAAAGCGCGATCTCCGCAAGATCCGCGACGAGGACCGCGAGAGCCGGTACGGGAGCGTGTTTGGCGTCTCGGGCCCCGTCGTAATCGCGGAAAACATGATCGGTGCAAGCATGTACGAGCTGGTGCGTGTGGGCCACCACGAGCTGGTCGGCGAGATTATCCGTATCGATGCCGACAAGGCCACGATCCAGGTGTATGAGGAGACGACAGGTGTGTGTGTCGGTGACCCGGTGCTTCGCTCCGGCAAGCCGCTGAGCGTCGAGCTGGGGCCCGGTCTGATGGAGAACATCTACGATGGTATCCAGCGCCCGCTGCAGGGGATCCAGAAGAAGAGCCAGAGCATCTATATTCCCCGCGGTATTGACACGCCTGCGCTTGACCGCGAGCACGAGTGGGAGTTCACGCCGGCGAACGTCAAGGTCGGTGACCACATCAGCGGCGGCGATATCTACGGCAGCGTGTACGAGAACGCGCTGCTGAAGAAGCACCACATGATGCTTCCGCCTCGTGCGCGCGGCACGGTCACGCATATCGCTGAGAAGGGCATGTATACCGTCGACGACGTGATTCTCGAGACCGAGTTCAACGGCGAGAAGCACACGTTCACGATGATGCACGCGTGGCCTGTGCGTGCGCCGCGTCCGGTGGCCGAGAAGCTTGTGGCCGACACGCCGCTGCTCACGGGCCAGCGTATCCTCGACTCGCTGTTCCCGTGTATCCAGGGCGGTACGACGGCGATTCCCGGCGCGTTCGGCTGTGGTAAGACGGTGATTTCGCAGGCGCTGTCGAAGTACTCGAACTCGGACATTATCACCTATGTCGGCTGTGGTGAGCGTGGCAACGAGATGGCCGAGGTGCTCCAAGAATTCCCCGAGCTGACGCTCACGCGCGATGGCGAGGAGCAGCCGATCATGCGCCGCACGACGCTGGTGGCGAACACGTCGAATATGCCTGTGGCGGCGCGTGAGGCGTCGATCTACACGGGTATTACGCTGTCCGAGTACTTCCGTGACCAGGGCTACCACGTCGCGATGATGGCTGACTCGACGTCGCGCTGGGCCGAGGCGCTGCGTGAGATCAGTGGGCGTCTGGCCGAGATGCCCGCGGACTCGGGCTATCCTGCCTACCTGGGTGGCAAGCTGGCGAGCTTCTACGAGCGCGCCGGTAAGGTGGCCGCGCTCGGCTCGCCGGAGCGCACGGGCTCCGTGTCGATCGTCGGTGCGGTGTCCCCGCCGGGTGGTGACTTTTCGGACCCGGTGACCACGGCGACGCTCGGTATTGTGGGTGCATTCTGGGGTCTCGACAAGAAGCTGGCGCAGCGCAAGCACTTCCCGTCGGTGAACTGGAACGTGTCGTACTCGAAGTACACGCAGGGCCTCGAGTCGTACTACGAGAAGCATGCGCCGGGCTTTGCGTCGCTGCGCACGTCGGCGCGCGAGCTGCTGCAGAAGGACACGGACCTGGCCGAGATTGTGCAGCTGGTCGGTAAGAGCGCGCTGGGCGAGAACGACAAGGTGACGCTGGAAGTCGCGCGCATCATCAAGGACGACTACCTGCAGCAGAACGGTATCTCGGAGTATGACTGCTACTGTCCCTTTTACAAGACCACGGGCATGCTGAAAAACATGGTCGACTACCACGAGAAGGCCCAGGCGGCGATCAACAACAACCCTGAGATGACGTGGAGCAAGATCCGCGAGCACACGTCCGACATTTTGTACCGCCTCACGCAGCAGAAGTTCGAGGACCCCAAGGACGGCGAGGAGGCCATCCAGGGCAAGTTCGACGCGCTCTCGAGCGACTTGGCCGAGTGCTTCCGCAGCCTGTCAGACTAAGGTACATAGGAATCCATTCATCGAGCGAGATGCGCGCGCAGGGCCTGGATCGTCGTGACGCGCAGGCCATGCGCCTTGGCGAACTTGAGGCATGCATCGCGTGCCGCGATGCCGCCATTCGCATCGTCCGCGTCCACCAGCTCACACAGCAGGCCGGCCGGCGGCAGCCCCGCAAGCTTGCACAGATCGATCGTGGCCTCCGTGTGCCCCGGGCGCGCAAGCACGCCACCCGGCGTGTACCGCAGCGGGTTCATATGGCCAGGGCGCGAGAAGTCCGCCGCCGTCGCCCCCAGCGCGGGGTCCGCCAGCATGCGCGCCGTCAGGGCGCGGTCATGCGCGGAGATGCCCGTCGTCGTGCCGTGGCGGTAGTCCGTGGTGATGGTATACGCAGTCTTGTGCTTCTCCTCGTTCTGTGGCACCATCATCGGCAGCTGCAGCTCTTGCAGGCGTTCAGGGGTAAGCGAGATGCACACAAAGCCGCTGCGGTGCATCAGTGGCGCCGACGTACCTGGAGTGGCGGATCAGGAAGGCCATCTGCTCCGTCGTCACTTTGCTTGCGGCAATCAGGAGATCGCCCTCATTCTCGCGGTCCTCGTCGTCCAGCACGATCGCAAACTTGCCGCGCCGAAAGTCGGCCACTACGTCGTCCACGCTGTCGAACATGGTGGTGCCAGTCGACGATCGTGGGGCAGGGACCGATTAGGTAAGGTATGACATAAGCCACGGGCCCGCCCGGCGCGGCCTCTGGCCGCTCTGGGACGCGCGGGTGCGCCGGTGTCCGACTGCCATGACTGGCGCTGCCGCCACGATGCTGACGATGCGTAGGGTGGCACCATCTGTGCCGCGATCGAGGGTACGTAATGAATGTGCGCAGCTGATGCCAGGGCTACTCCACGACGACCTCGGCTGGCCGCCGCGCGGTGCTGCCGCGCCTGCTGGCGTACACGACGGTGGGCGCGGCCGTGTTCTACGGCGGCTCGTACGCGGTCGCGCAGCGCGTGCCGGCGTACCGCGAGTTCTTTGAGAAGAATGTGTACGGTGGCGAGGCGCTGCTGCGCTACTTTTCCACGCACGAGCTGAAGGACCTGCCCGAGGAGCTGCGCAAGATGGACGTGGAACAGCAGGTGGTCGCCGCCGCGAAGCAGGTGCGCAGCGGCTTCCACCGTTTGACGGACTATGTGCGTGAGAGCGAGCAGGTGCAGGCGACGCGCGAGGAGGTCGAGAAGCACACGGCTGCCCTGCAGACGAAGCTGCACGACCAGCTCGAGGAGCTCAAGAGCAAGGCTGGCGAGGAGTCGGCGCAGCTGCTGGAAAAGGCGCAGAACTTTGCGAGCCACGCGTACCAGGGCGCGCGCGAGCCCATGAGCCACGTCGCCGACGAGGCGCGCGAGCACCTCGGCGGCGCTGTGCCGACGGCGGAGCCCGCGAAGCCGGTGGTGCCGGCGCCGGCGTACGGTGCGCCGTACCCCGAGCGCAAGCTCGTCGCGCCGAAGGACAACGGCGGGCGCCTGCGTGCCGACCCGAAGGCGCCCGTGCTGCCGCAGCTGAGCAAGTCCGTCCAGCGCCTGCACAGCTCGGAGCCCGTGCTCGCGCAGCTGGCCGGCACGATCGACGAGCTGACGGCGCTGGTGCGTGAGGCGCCGCATGCGGGCGCACTCGCACGCAGCGTGCTCGAGACGGCGCAGGCGGACCTCGCGCAGCTGAGCGCGCGCCTCGACGAGATCAAGAAGTCGGACGCAGAGAAGCTCGACGCGCAGCTCGAGAAGCAGGCGCAGGCGTTTGAGGCCGAGCTGCAGAAGGCCGCGGAGCGCGCGCAGGGCGAGCTGGGCCAGCGCGACGCCGACTGGGCAAAGAAGGTGAGTGCGCTGCAGGACGAGCAGGCGTCGCAGTTCAAGGCGCGCCTCGCGAGCGAGCTGCGCACGCAGAGCGCGCTCATTGACGAGCGCCTCAAGGAGGAGGTCGTCGCGCGCGGCATCGAGCTGCAGCGCAAGTGGTCGCAGGAGATCCGCGCCAAGGTCGAGCAGGAGCGCGCTGGCCGTCTGGCGCGCCTCGACGAGATGGCGTCCGAGCTCCAGCGCGTCGAGCGCCTGTCACTCGAGAATGCGCAGTCGCTCGACCACAACATCAGCCTGCACGCGCTGAGCGCCGCGCTGCGCACGCTGCGCCAGGCCATTGACGCGCCGGTCCTGCGCGACTCGGCGTACGTGCGCCGCACCTTTGTCGACGAGCTCGCCGCCGTGAAGGCCACGCGCCAGGCGACGGACAACGAGGTCATCTCGGCGGCGCTCACCGCGATCGACGAGACGGGCGCGGCCGCCGACGGCGTCGAGAGCGTCCCGACACTGCACGAGTGGTTCGCCGTGCGCCTCGCCCCGCGCCTCACGAGCGTCGCGCTGCTCCCGGAGCAGGGCGCCGGCGTCCTTTCGTACCTGGCAAGCATGGTGCTCAGTCCCCTGCTGTTCGTGCGCCAGGGCAACGTGCCCGGCGACGACGTCGCGAGCATCGTCGCCCGCGCCAACTGGCTCCTCGAGCGCCGCGACCTCGACCAAGCCACGCGCGAGCTGAACCAGCTGCGCGGCTGGGCCAAGGTGCTGGCCAGCGACTGGCTCCAGGCCGCGCGCACGCGCCTCGAGGTCGACCAGGCGCTCGACCTGATCGAGCGCGAGTCCGCATTTGCATCGCTCCTCCAGACGTAGCTACCTAGTCACCCTGCCAGCGTCGCGCCGTACTGCGCCGACATGTGCGCCTGCACATGCGCGTGCACACGCGCCCACGCCGCGCGCCACGCAGGGTGCGCGTCCGCACAGAGCGCACGCCACCAGCCAAGCACGCCCTGCACCTTGTCGAGCGCCTGCGCCTGCACGCACACGTCGAGCAGGCGCTGTACGAGCGCCACGTCGCCAGCGCGCGGCGCAGCATGCGCGCACGCACCGTGCCACGCGCGCAGCTGCGCGCGCAGCGCGTCGAGGGGCGCCGCCGGCGAGAGCGACGCACCGGGCCACGACGCATACAGAGGGTGCCGCGCATCCACCTCGACCAGCGAGGCGCGCGGCTGCACACCCTCTTCGGCCGGCCGCGCCGCAGCGCACTGCACGGCGTCGTCCGCCGCATACGCCCCGGCCGCGCGGCGAATGTGCGCCTCGTGCTGCACGGCCGACTCGGCCGCCAGGCGCCGCGCAGCGGCGGCCGTGCGCGCGGGCGCCG